TCTTTTCTATCCTTTTGCTTCAGGAGAGTATACATTAAACAGTGAGAAGCACTGGACAAACAAGGCCATTGGAGAGAAACTTCCCGAATGTGAAGCAGGTAGGAAGCCAGGGGCCCTGGGAAGCTGGCCAAAGGTAGGTGTTGAGAGTCTAGTGTGTGGGCAGGCACATCCTTCCTGAGTGGCTTCCTCTGAGCATCACAGGGCCAAGATGAGGGACCTGGGAGAACCCAAAATGGCCAGGCCGATAAGTGAGCATTTGGGTGATGGCTCTCCAAAAAAGTGCACTAAGGATCTCCTTCATTTGGGTCTTTGGGGTATTGACTGAATCCACTGTCCACATTGCCCCCAGAGAATCAGAAGGCCCTGTGTATACAGAGAGGCCGCCTAGGCAGCCCAGGGTCAGGTGTACAGCCAGCTCCAGGAAGAATTAGTCATGGGAGGACAGAACAAAAAGAAATCCATGGAAGTATGAGGCAGCAGGTTGGAGACGGGTTAGGACTTCTAGTTCCTGTTATTAGGAAAAGCTACTGCTCCTTCCCTTTCCCTCCTGGGACGGGAGGATTCTGTCTGCCCTCTTCTATGACCAGTGGTGTAGAATCACTAAGCTGCCTTCTAGCTAAAATCTGAGTTCCAGCCAACGCTGCAACAGATGGCTCTTTATTTAGGGAGAATGAATTTTTATAGCTTCTCACCCTCACAATGACTTTAAGGGAAAGTCTCAGCATTGAGATTTGAAAATCTCAGCACTACTTGTTTTTTTTCATGAGTTAGAAAAGCAGGAAATAGAACTGTGCCCTACTGATGTAAACAACTTTATAAAAAAGAGCCACTTTAAACTGTCAACAATGGAAATGGGGGGAGCAGGTGGTAAGGCAAGGAGTGTAAATATTCCTAGCTGTGCGGAAATTAATACAATAGTTTAGAAAGCAGCAATTGCCAATGCTTTGCCCCTCTTTCCTACACTGGGAGACTCACATTTCTGCTCCTGACTTTCTTGCTTTCCTTGACAGTGTGCGGAAAGCCCAAGAACCCGGTGGATCAGGTGCAGCGGATCATGGGTGGATCAGTGGATGCCAAAGGCAGCTTTCCCTGGCAGGCTAAGATGGTCTCCCACCATAATCTCACCTCAGGGGCCACATTGATCAGTGAACAGTGGCTGTTGACCACGGCTAAAAATCTCTTCCTGGGCCATAAAGATGATGCAAAAGCAAAAGACATTGCCCCAACTTTGAAACTCTATGTGGGGAAAAATCAGCCTGTGGAGATTGAGAAGGTGGTTCTCCACCCTGACTACTCCAACGTAGACATCGGGCTCATCAAACTCAAACAGAAGGTGCCCATTGATGAGAGAGTAATGCCCATCTGTCTACCTTCAAAAGATTATGCAGAAGTGGGGCGTGTGGGCTATGTGTCTGGATGGGGGCGAAATACCAACTTTAATTTCACTGAGCTACTGAAATACGTCATGCTGCCTGTGGCTGATCAAGAGAATTGTGTGAAGCACTACGAAGGCAGCACAGTGCCCGAGAAGAAGTCATCGAAGAGTCCTGTAGGGGTGCAGCCCATACTGAATGAGCACACCTTCTGTGCTGGCTTGTCTGAGTTTCAGGAAGATACTTGCTACGGTGACGCTGGCAGTGCATTTGCCGTTCACGATGAGGCTGACAACACCTGGTATGCAGCTGGAATCCTGAGCTTTGATAAGAGCTGTAGGGTTGCTGAGTATGGCGTGTACGTGAAAGTGCCCTCCATCCTGGCCTGGATTCAGGAAACCACAGCTGGCAACTAATGCTGTCTGGCTGGGAGCCCTAGCCTGACAGCAAGACTTTACTCTGGAAGAGAGGAAACTAGATGGGGGGAGAGGGGATAAAATGGAGTATGAAGCAGTGCTGAGTCAATCAATAAAGGGATTTCTTTTGAGTCATTTCTGTGCTGTTTTTAGCCTCAGGCCTTTTTTATTCTCTCATTTGTGGTACAGCAGCAGCTAAGTGGTATAGAGTCTACTAGGAGTGTGGCAGAAAACACCCCAAGCCAACTCAAAATCCGTCAGATGAAACAAACTTTCCCACCCTGGGGATCATACTCATTGACTGAGTGCCTACCAAACAGCAGGCCTCAGAAAGGTCACTGTTACCCTGGTTTCATAGACAAGAAAACAGACTTGGAGAAGTTAAGTGATTTGTTTAAGGCCATACAGCTATTAGATAGTGAGGCTGAATTCACTTTGAACCCAGGTCTGTCTGGATATGAACTTCAGCTCTCTACACGGTATCCTCTTCTTTGAAGTGTATTAGGGGAAAGAGTGCGGGCTGATGAGGAAGAGGCTAGCTCAACGTGGGATGAAAACAAGGGTTTTGGCACAGGCAGTATTTTATTATTTGTGCTCCAACACACCAGCACTTCAGAAAACAAAGTAAGATGGGATAAAGGCAGGCAGGACTTCTGGACTTGCTGAGTCCAGATCATAGTGTGGCCACATGTTTGCCAAGTGCCTTCAGTTCCCTGCCATCGGTCCCTGGTTTCCTTCCAGAGGGGCTTAAAACAGCTGATCCCTAACATCCCTATGAACATTCTGGAACTTGGTAAAAGAGTTACAAGTCTCTTCCTCAACAGGGTATGCTTTTCCCAGTTGGAAGAAACCTATCCTTTACTGGGAGCCAAATGCAAGCCACCTGAGTCTTCCCTTTCACAAAGACAGGCTCTTGCTATTAAGGGTCTCCCAGAAGAAAGGTTTCAGAACCCCTGTAAACAGAAGGCTCTTCTTCTAACTTCTTCTATTCCTTCCTGCTGTTTAAGCCTTCAGTACACTGACCTTTCATTAATGTACCTTTGTGTCCTATGAAAATATGGCCTCTCCTTCTCATGGTATAAAATGCTGATGTCAGAATTCTCGCACCAGGATCTGCCCTTCACTGTGAAGTTGTCCTCAGGTGTACTCTCTAGGTCCATCCACACTTTTCAACAGGTTAGAGCTAGTAGAGACCAATGAAGATCTTACATCTATATTCTAAAAGCTGTGAAAGAATAGCCAGAAACTGAAGAATTATACACACACATAAACAAAATATCTCTCAATACAGTTCTTTTCTGGTTGGTATAGCTTTAGCACTAAATTTTCTTGAAGAAAAAACACTCCACTTGTCTTGAAGAACTATCTGATTGCACTAAGTGGCTTCTGGCCACTGTTCCGAAGGAAAACAGTAAGAAAAAACTTTCAGCATTTTCTCAATTCACTTATCATTTCCAGCTTCCTCCCCAGCAGCACTTCCTGCCCTCCTGGTCTACCCCTTGGATTTTAGTGACACTGAACTCCGCGTGGCTCTCTGAACATGTTCTGCTGTCTCCAGCATCTGGGCTTCTTCCTCCTGGCACCCTCTCCTGAATGCCTCTCCCTTTCCACACAAGTACGTCCTACCCTCCTTTGAGGTTTGGGCATTGTCTCCACTACAAAGCCTTCTCCCATTCAGGAGTCACTTGTATTTCTGTAGCATGGAGCACAGAGAAGGGCATTTGGTATGAACTCAATCAATACTTGTGGAATGGAAAGTAACTAAGATAGGAACAAAAACAATAAAAAAAAAAGGGGTGCCTGGGTGGCTCAGTCGGTTAAGTGTCCGACTTTAGCTCAGGTCACGATCTCACAGTCTGTGACTTCGAGCCCCGTGTCGGGCTCTGTGCTGACAGCTCAGAGCCTGGAGCCTGCTTCAGATTCTGTGTCTCCCTCTCTCTCTGACCCTCCCCCGTTCATGCTCTGTCTCAAAAATAAATAAAAACATTAAAAAAAAATTAAAAAAAAATCAGGACTTCAGAGAAACATTCCCTAAAGACCTCAGGAAGAAAGAAGATATGAGAATTTTATGCATGCAAGTTCTAAGTTTTTGTTGGTATCTGAGCACCTACCACATGTCAAACACTGTGTGACTGAAGTTGTGACAGAAAATCCAACTAACAGTGACAGGCAACGAAGACATTTTATTCTTTCTGGAGGGAGGCAGGTTTAGAGTTCACTAAGCAGCTCAATAGCATCATCAAGGACCCAGGTTTTTATTGTCCTTCTCCACACATTCACATTTCATCCCGGGGCTGGTCCTAATGGTCCTGGGATGGTTGCTATGGTTCCACGTCTTATCCCTGGAGCAGCTCTCTCCTGTCGTCAGCAAAGGATGCAAAAACCCACAGTGGCCTTCCTTCTATGCCACGTCAATGAGAACCAGGACGGGTGGTCATCTCTTCTTGCAGAAAAGGCTTGTAAAGGAAGCGCCCAGTAAGGGGAGAATGAACTTGCAGAGACAGTGTTGGTCTGCACAGAGCTGGGACATCAGCGTCTGGCGAGCAAATCCATGTCTGGCCCACTGCCCTCTGGGTCTGCATCTATTCTTTTGTTCTACAAAGTCAGTATCCAGAGGCCCAGCGAGGTTTTGAGAGAAGCAGGGACTTGTCAAGTGGTGGCAGGTTATGCCAGGGCTGCTGGCAGAGCAAGAATTCTTCATAAAGTTATTAAAATGGGCAAATACCACAAAGATGTTATTTCTAACGATTCTGACATCTCTTTCCAGTCTTGAGTCCTTGAAGTAAAATCCTCTGCTTCAGAAAGCAGCAGAACTTGGACTTCTGGGAGAAATCTGCTGCTACTTACTAATTTGTTTAGCTCAAATTGGGTGCTGGATGGTAAAGGTTCAACGTCCCATTTCTTGGGCAATTTAATAAAAGCTAGTCAAATGAGCAAACTGGGATACTGTTTTAAAAGTTCAAGCCAGATGGGGCACCTGGGTGGCTAAGTCAGTTAAGCGTCCGACTTTGACTCAGGTCATGATCTCACAGTTTGTGAGTTTGAGCCCTGCGTTGGGCTCTGTGCTGACAGCTCAGAGCCGGGAGCCTGCTTCAGATTGTGTCTCCCTCTGTCTCTGCCACTCCCCAGCTTGCAATCTCTCTCTCAAAAAATAAAAACAAATAAATAAAAGTTTAAACCAGAAAGTTTCCAAAATAAAACATTTTTTCACTATCTGTAGAGAAACATTTATTCCAAGAGAAACCGAGATAACAGGGACTGGAGACAGGAGAGCATGAGATAAATACATGAGTGGAGAAACGGGTGAGGGGGAGGGTGTGTGTGTGGGTACATTTAGGGTAAAAAAATAAGTACTTCTGCTCTTACGGGAAATGATTTTCTATTTTACTTGTATATCAAAGTCAACATAAATATACTAGCCAATGTTTAGAAGCATTCTGTATCATCTTAAGGAATAAAGAGAAGCACAATAAAAATTTAAAAAAAAAATCACGCTGGGGAAATTGACCCCGGTGGTCTTGACTGCTCTGGGGTTTGCAGGGAATAGACATTTAAGCATCTCTGCCCATCGCAGTGCCAGCGTGGTCTTCTACTTGAGGGTGGGGTATTTTCTACCCAAGTCAGCACTCTTCTCTGCTGGGATGCTGAACACATGTCCGAAGGACTCCAGGAAAACGGCACAGCTGGGTTCAGGTACTGTTTCAAGATGTGCTTTTTTCTTCAGCTTTGATAGTCATGAATGCGTTAAATGTCTTGATAGAGAAGGTCATATTTGGGAATATTCTTGGGATCAATAGGACTTTGGACAATAAGCTTTCCCCTCATTGCTCCTCGATAAATTACTTCAACCAAATCTATGAAGTCTTGCTTGGTTTTGAAACTTCCCACAAACTTAGTGTGATCGGGAGACCTAGAGAGCACGGGAGAAAAACAACCACACTCAGAACTTTTAGCGATTTCTCGCTGCAGACCTTCAGGATAAACAAAATGAAGCACAGTTCTGATACTTTCTGTTCCTGAGGGAGACTTCAGACATAAAGCCCAACATTGATTTCTCCGGTTGTGAGTACAGGGCCCATTTGATACAGGATTAAACGCAGAGCCGTGGGCCACTGGGAGGGCACGTGAGCCCTACCAGGTGAAGAGCCTTCCCTTCAAAATCTACCTCAATTTCTTCTCAGTTCCTTATCAAGTAGAATTCCCTGGGCGTTGGGATGGGCATAGTTGGTTGCCGCTGCTGTTGGCCTTGCCGTGAAGAACCCGTTAACTGGTCACCGTCTCTGCGTTCCCCTCACTTATACTTTTGAGTGGGGGGGTACAAAATCGTTTTTTTTTCCCTATTTCAAACATCGGTTATGTTTATTACAGAAATTTTTTAGAAAAAAACATTACCAGTGAGGTCAAAGGCCGCATTTTGGTACATATTCTTCCAAAGTGTGTGTGCGTGTGTGTACACACGTGTGTTTCTTTTTTCAAAATCATGGTAATTATATCATGCAAACTATTTTGTAATGTTCCAACTAACATAAAACCTATTTCTTTCAAAGTCATTAAACTTGTATTTACAACATCATATGAAACTGACATCTAGTGTCCTTCTGTGAACATCTAGTTTCTTTCCAAGTATTTTGCTCTTTAAATAATGGTGGGATGAATATTTAGGCAGCCAATTTTGCCCACTTTCATGATTATTTCCCTTTAGATAAATTCTTGCAAATGCAATTGCTAGGTTGAAATTTTTACATATTTAAGTTGGCAAATAGTGTCATAAATCACATTTTAAAAAGACTGCACCACGGGGGTGCCTGGGTGGCTCAGTCGGTGAAAAGTCCCAGGTCATGATCTCATGGTTGTGAGCCCTGTGAGGGGCTCCACATTGGGCATGGAGCCTGCTTAAGATTCTCTCTCTCCCCCTCCCTCTGCCCCTCCCTACCTTGAGCATGCTCTCAAAAAAAAAAAAAAAAAAAAAAAGATTGCATCACATTAACTTCTATCACCTGTATCCTAGGAGAATAAACAGCTTTAAAATAAAACAGGTAATGGTTAATGCACTTTCAAGTAGATAATGACAAAACAGATACACAGATCTAAACAAGCAGACACCTGAACTACAGTGAGAAGTGTTAAGAATTATGGACACACTGAAAATACATGTTGAGTGCTAGGATGCTGACTGGATACAACGGAAGGTGTTAAAGATTTCATGGTGCTTATTCTTGACAGAATTGAAGAATGACATCATAATTCTCTGAGTGGCAGAAGATAGGACACTTGAACAGAGAGAAACATATCTCAGTTTGCCGGAAGGAACACTTCTTTCATAAATGCAGCCTACCAGTCCCAAAAGTTTAAGAATAATGACACATTATGTATTAAATGAAATTCCTAAGAAACTTTTAAAAAAGCTGTTCTGTATTTTCTACACCAAAGGGTAGTTAGTGCTGCACAAACTGTTCAATTGTTTCCTACTTACGTAGGAGGTTAACATTTGCCAATCATACTGGATACGCTGTCATTTTTGTGCCAAAGTTTCACATGACCAAGGAGTGGGTCACCTGAGGACACAGCACCCACACAGGGCTCACAGAGCCACCCTCATAGGCAGGTGAGTTACTGGAACTGCTTGGTTGAAAGAACCCCTCACAGCTGCAATGACTTCAGGTCAATCTAACTTACCCATAATCCACTTTCATGTGCTGCCCATTGAAGAAGAACACAGTAGATGGAATATAACTGATGTCAAAATAGTGCGTGTAAACGGGAGTTTGGTCCACATCTACCAGATATATAGCAGCCATTTTACTCAGGTCAGAACACGTCTTAGAAAGCTGCAAATAGAGACATGTAGGTTACAATGAGAGAGGCAGCTAAATCTCCCCTGAGTTCCACATTAGACACAATGTAACCTTATCATTCAGACAGGGCCCTGGGTAAACTGTGTAAACTGTGTGAATACATTTCTCTTTTTTTTTAAATTGATTTTTGGTTGTAAAAAGCTTTTATAAACTTCTTATAGATTTATGAAATCCATGTTCGCTTAAACAAAAACAACTCAGAAATATACACGGCAGACACTGAAATTCCCCCCAATCTCCTGCCTTCCAATCCCCCCTTAAATGATAATCATAATAAAAACAGTGAAGGCTTGTCTGGCGGGTTATTACACGTTAAGTGTCCAAAGTGCTTTATGCTTATTAACTCATTTGATCCTTACAACATTCATATGAGGTTACTATAGTCCCCACTTCTTAGATGAGGAAACTGGGTAATCTGCCCCTGGTCACACAACTTAAGCAGTCAGTCTATACTCTTGGCCTCTGATATTCCCTTCCCTCTATGGCTGAGGGTATAATCCTCTGGCCCATTCCTCCCTCAGATTAACACATCAGCATTCATTTTTAATCACAGAAATAAAGATTCTTATACTGGATCCACACTGTGTGTGGCAGCAATAGAAATGGTGTGAAGAGGTGTTAGTTCTGGGATCAGTCTCTCTCTATAACAGAGACAAGAATAACCACATTTTGTCCCATACTCCCCTCCCTACTCATCAGAGTATGAAGACGTGTTATGAAATCAGATTACCATCAGGCACACACTGGAGGCACCACACTGGAAAAGCTTATTTGCAGGCAGAGAAAAAGAAGTTCGAACCCCAGCTCTGCAAGTTACTGGTCTGTCCTGTGGGAAGTCACCTGACGTCCCTGGCATTCATCTCCCTGTGTGGGAGTAGTAACAGTGATGGTAATTATTCCACTGTTGTGAGCACAGAGTAAATAAGTGCTTCTGGTCCTCTACTGCTCTGTTGGTGAAACTGAACTTGGATGGCTACTGGTGGGGAGGGACGTCTAGGACAGATTCAGCAGGATCACGGGTCTGGGGGCTTAGCTCAGGGCAGGCACATGACCAGCTCCTAGTGAAAGAGTGCCAGCAAATGAAAAGCAGTATCTCCAGGCCCGGCCACTGCCTTTCATGCACTTTGTAGATGTTGAAGTGAGAACGTACAGATTTTTAATAAAAACCATTTATTTAAAGAATTCACTTACAATATCATCTAGCTGCAGACAGACTGGATCCTCATCTCTCCCAAATCGGAGAACCAATACCTTCTCTGCAGTACTTTTTATTGCTTGGTCTACTTCTTTTTTGCTAGTTAGCTTGGGCAACAGGAAGCTCATCTTGCCATAATCCAAATATTTATCCTTACTGTCAGTCCTGAAATACAGTTGCAATATTTAAAGACAGATTAAGTGCATGAGTCCTAATTAAAAAAAAAAAATTAATTTTGTAGTAGTTAATACACATATATTTTATTCTCAGAGGAAAGAAATAGTTTCATACAACATAGTATCACAACAGTAAAAAAAAAAACAACACACTAAATGCACAAACTGCTGGCAAGTCCACCAGCTTGAAAAGAAACATAAATACAAAAAGGCGTACTGTTGGGGCACCTGGGTAGCTCAGTCGGTTGAACGTCCGACTTCAGCTCGGGTCATGATCTCACAGTCTGTGAGTTCGAGCCCTGTGTTGGGCTCTGTGCTGACAGCTCAGAGCCCGGGGCCTGTTTCAGATTCTGTGCCTCCCTCTCTCTCTGACCCTCCCCCATTCATGCTCTGTCTCTCTCTGTCTCAAAAATAAATAAACATTAAAAAAAAAAAATTTCAAAAAGGCGTACTGTGAAAAACCTCCCTCCCTCTCTCCGCCCTCAACTGGCCCTGTTAGTACTGGCCTGTTTCTCCCCACACAGCAGGTAGCTACTTTCATTAGTTTCTCATGTATCTTCCAGTTTTGTTATGCATTTACAAAAACATACAAATGTGCATTCCTATGTTTTTTCCCTCTTTTACCCCAAAGACAGGCTATTCTATCTGCCAGGGTTCTAGCAGGAGAAAGATAACATTCTCAAATTTGGTAATTTCGAAAGATTTTCATTAAGGCAGGGTACGGGCACACACCAGGTACAGTGCTGTACTCGGGCTAGTAAGAGCAGGGCGCCGTTCCCACCCTGAGGCCTGAAGGAGCTACAGCAGGGAGTAGTTAGCACAAGTGTGTGGTGGGGAACGCCGGGTGGAGAAGGCTGTCATATAGGAGGTCAGCCTGCAGTTAAGGGATGCAGCCACTCTTCTCTGTCTGTCTGATCTCCTCCTAATGTGCCAACTGGGTGACTCACACTGGAACCAGAGGGCAGGGGAGATGCAGAGGGCATCCAAGTCTCGTGGTCCTGGAGCAGTCTAGAGAAGGAAAGAGTGCATCTGGAGAGGCAAATGACAGATGTCCGGCACACATACTTTACCCACTCTTCTTCACTGCGCTTTTTTACTTAGCATGCATAGACCTTCCCATATCTATACACACGTTGTCACAGAGACATACTATTTCACACACGCACCACACTTTTAAAACCGTCTTTTACTGATGAAGTATTATCATGAGCTCCCACCCCCATGTGACAAACAGATAGATTAAGAGTGTGTGTGAAAACCACCAAATAAACAAATCATAGGGGCGCCTGGGTGGCTCAGTCGGTTAAGCGGCCGACTTCGGCTCAGGTCATGATCTCGCGGTCCGTGGGTTCAAGCCCCGCGTCAGGCTCTGTGCTGACAGCTCAGAGCCTGGAGCCTGTTTCGGATTCTGTGTCTCCCTCTCTCTGACCCTCCCCCGTTCATGCTCTGTCTCTCTCTGTCTCAAAAATAAATAAACGTTTAAAAAAAAAATTAAAAAAAAATCATAAAATACTCAGATAAAAGGGAACTAATCCAATTCCCTCATTTTATAGACTTGTTTGCTTATAGTTTTGGTTCTAGCTACAGCACGGACTAGAATCAAAGCCACCAAATTTCTTTCCTTCTAAAGTTTTTTTATTTTATTTTAGAGGGAGAGAGAGAGCGCGCAAGCGGGGGAGAGAGAATCTTAAGCAAGCTCCACACTCAGCACGGAGCCCATCATGGGGCTCGATCCCACGACTCTGGGATCATGACCTGAGCCGAAATCAAGAGATGGATGCTTAACTGCCTGAGCCATGCAGGTGCCCCCAAGCCACCAAATTTCTAGTGCAGTGTTCCTCCTGCTATAATAAGCTCCTGTTCTTATGGTTGAGAAACTCTATTTTTGAGTCCATCCAGAACTCCACCGGGGTACTTGACATTTTATATTTGGCCCCCAAGTTGGCTAATGCTATGAAAAGGGAGGATTTCTTTATGTGTGTGTGTGTGACAAGTCACATTTTAAGACAAGAGTTAATAAAAATGTATATAGGAAATGAAATTGTTCCTGTAACAAGTCATACTTTAGACAGGCAAGCTGATTGCTAGGAAGGACTTCATCAAATGTCAGTAGCAGAAAAAATTACTGATAAAAGGGAAAGTCAAAGTGAGGATGGATCTATCCCACCCTAGAATTCAAACAGCAACTCCAGTTCTGATAAAGAGGAGGAAAACTAAAGCCACACCTAAGAAAATGTTCATAGCAAGGGATACCAACAGAGACTTCACAAAAGAAGAGGTACAAATAGGCAAAAATATTTGGAAAGTTAAGCTTTACTAGTAAACAAAGAAAAGCAAATGGAAGATTATTTAACAAAGCCATTAAGTTGGTAAAGACAAAACAATATTGCAAGAGTGTGAATAAAGGGCCACACATTCTTACTTGCTGCTGGAATGCAGAGAAGCAAAAACTTTTCCAGAAAGAAAACAATTTGAGCAACAACTCCATTTCTGAGAATTAACTTGACACGTCCACAATGATTTATCACATTCTTAAGGTGAAAAACTGCAAACAACTTAAATAGCCCAAAATAGGAGATTGGAAAAAAAATGACAGTACAGTCCTGGAACATACTATTACACAGCTGCTAAATACTGTTACAGATGAACATTTCACATATTGAAAAGTTCTCATGATAAATCAGTTACAAAAGAGTATATAAAGTGTGATCCCACTGCTGTACAAAACCTAATACAAATGTATACATTTACATAGAAATAACTAGAAATAAATATCCCAAAACACATAGTGGTTATCTCTGTCAGTGAACAGACAGGTGACTTTTATTTACATCGGAGTGAGAGTCTTCTTCCAAACTATTCGCTATTCATACATACTTAATATATATATGCTTAATGATGCTTGTGGTTGGGCTGCTCCTGGCCCACAAGTGCTAGGGAAAACGACACCTACTTTCTTTGTACAAGTCACCTCCTTCTCTTCCACTTGACTGTTCGCAACCCCGACCACTTCTCCGAAACGTCGGCACACAGGCGGTTCCCGTCTTCTACACCAAAAGCACCGACCCTAACTCAAAGTAACCCAGGGGCTGCTGCCCGCCAACTCTGGCGGACCACTTATAAAACCGGAAACGGAAAAAGAATACTCACTGGCAAGTAGATAAACTTGCGGTCCTTCCCCTCAATAGTCCCACAAGCCGACGAGATTATTCGTTACTCTAGTCACCGCCCACTTTGCCCGCCTTTACAGGAAGCCTAGCGTCACTTCCGCCCTTATTAAACATGACCGACCTCCTTCCCTTTCTTCTTAGAGCCGAGGCGGGGCCTCGCCTTTCAGGCTAACTATGATTGGTCGCGATGAGACTCGGAAATGTCTCTGACCAGGGTTCCAGAGGAGGATACTCTAGCGTTGAGTGCTTGGTTGCTTTCTATACCACACTTGGCGCCAGGAACCGGCGGTTTCCGGGCTGCTCTCGATGGTTATCTCTGGACGGATAGAGGGGATCGCGCAGGGTATTATGGGACAATAATGGCTGCGCTCAAGGTTTGGGATTGGCTTTCTGAGGCGATCTGAGTGAGAGGTGGCGGTGCCGGCGCCCCGAAATCTGGGACAGGAGGTCCCAAGAGTCGGATTTGGTGAGGTGAGTGTCCTTTCTTTCTTCTTGACCGGCCCTTCGCCAATTACGGCAGCTCCAAGCGGCGGATATGGGTCCTTCGCTCAGGTTCCGGTCCGAGTTTGCGGTCTCGTCCCTGTCACCCAATTTGTCTTTCTTACCCTTGGGATGCTGCACCGGTCCGGGCTTTCCTGTCCTTTCTCCTTGATCTGGTCAGTACTGCTGCCTGGCTGCCCAGGGGTCATCCTGCACCCTTCTTTAGGCCTCTACATTGGCCCCCTCCCAAGCAGAGGCCGAGCCTAAGTAGGGCTCCTTGTGTCTTTCTTCTCTGTCATAGTGGTATCTTTACTATGTGATCTCCTCTACTAGAATGTCAACTCCAAGAGGGCGGGATTTTTGCCTGTTTTGTTCTTTGTTCTTTTCCTATTGCCCAGAACAGTGATTGGGTCACATAAGGTATTCGATGAAAAATTGTTGAATGAGTAAATCTAGTTTTTCTAAATTTTCTATTCTTAATTGGCTTCTTTGTCACTAATCATTCTCCAGAATCCAGTCCTTTTAATTCCTTATTTGTTCTCAGCAGCTAGTTAAATCCTATCAGACTCCTTGTCTTGTGCTATTGGGATCTTCCTTTGCTGTCTCTAGATATGTTTGTTTTCCTGTTCTCCATTAATCAGTTTAAATTCATTCATTCATTTATTCACCAAACTTTATTTCACTAAGTGCTGGCTGTAGTAATAGCAAGATAGACAAGGTTCTCTTTGGCAATCTAGGAGTATATTTTTTAGTTTATGCTACTGTTGAGCATAGCATATATATGTTTACCTTCCTGTTTAGATTTCCTCACATGCACAGAAGTCACCAATATGCAGCTCTGTCTTTTCTCTTCTGCCTGATGGCATTTTTCAAAATGCAACTCTTGTGTCTGTGTTGATATTATGTTTGGCAATATTTCTCTGTAGAGCCGTGCATGTTAATTAGAACTGAGCAAAACATCCTGGATTCTGGTGGTACCCTACACCTTGACAGTTCCTTTGCTTCACTGACTTGTTGAAAGAGGAGAATTATCCAAGCACCTAGAATCGGTGTATAAGTGGATGGTGTGTAATGGGATGTAAAGAGGAATGAATTTGATACACGTTGAGTGTCAGAAAGTCTTATAATCATCTTAATACTTTTCAGGAAACCATTTCATAACCTAGTGTTTCTCGTTAATATTTTTGGTGAACATGGATTGTTATTAAACAAGATCCCAACTGCCGGGAGGTAATTCTTTTCTACAAAACACAACTGGTCCACAAAAATCCACTAGTATATGGATCACATAGTATATGGTAGCTTTATACCCCAGCATGTCTACTCTGCTGTATCTGTAGTTTAAAGGGAGGGAGAGGTAGAAGGGCTCATGTAGAAAATGTTGAGCCCCGATTAGTACAGAGAAGCATGGCAAATAAAATAACGTGACAGTTACTTTTATGTATGGCTTTATGGTTACAGAGAGCTTTCGCATACACTTTCTTGTGGGATTCTTATAATAATTCCGTGGACTAAATAAAGCAAAAAATATTTCTGTTTCACAGATACAGAAATTATGCCTAACCAAATATTAAGTTATCTGCTTACAATCATACAAGTAGAAAATATCAAAAGCTTGCATTGTAATTGAGGATTCTGACTTCAAATCTAGTGGTATTCCCCCTACAGTCCCTTTCTAGATGCCATCATGTTCTAGTAAGTGTCCTTCGTGAGGACTGTGCTTGCCTGGTATCCTCTTGGATCCCGGTGTTTGGTGGGTGTGTGAATGTGTGTCTCTGTTTCTGATGTGTATCAGAGTGGGAGTAGGAGGATCTTTTGAGATTGTCAGTGACATAATGGAAAGATTTTGGCAAGAGGTAGCTAAGCAAATCCTGGTCTTGATGGGGAGGTTAACTCCCTGAATATCCCTGTAACTTCAGTTATTCTGGGATATAGCAGAGCTATACCTTTTCTCCTTTTATATCCAATACAAAATGGGTTGTCTTCCTTCCACAGAAATCCCAGAGCCTGTCATGGAGGACACCAGCGAGGATGCCTCGATCCATCGATTGGAAGGCACTGATCTGGACTCTCAGGTTGGTGGTCTTATTTGTAAGACTAAAAGTGCAGCCAGTGAACAGCATGTCTTCAAGGCCCCTGCCCCCCGCCCTTCCTTGCTGGGACTGGACTTGTTGGCTTCCCTGAAACGAAGGGAGCGAGAGGAGAAGGACGATGGAGAGGACAAGAAGAAGTCCAGAATCTCTTCCTACAAGGACTGGGAAGAGAGCAAAGATGACCAGAGAGATGCTGAGGAGGAAGATAGTGACCAAGCTGGCCGACATAGCCGAAAAGACAGGTAAAGGCTTTTGGATGGGTTGACCAAAAGGGAATGAGAATGGAGGCCAGGGAATAACATCCCATGTTGATTTCTGTTTTCTTGTTGGACATATAGATCTTTATGGTTTTATTATGATTCTGTAGTATTGAAGTAGATAGGAAGTGATATTTTCTTCAGATGTGTGGGGAACATTCAAAGGTGACTAAAGAGTAGAGCACAAAGATTAGAAATGATTTGGGTTGTTGCCATCAGTAAGCCTGTAGGGAGATTAAGTGGAAAAGGTCAGGTCACCCAGCCAGCCCCCCTTTGGGGGCAAGGTTTTTCTCCTAAGGAGGGGCGTTTTACCACTTGCCCTCTCTGTTTCAGGCATTATCGATCTGCTCGGGTAGAGACTCCATCCCATCCTGGTGGTGTGAGTGAAGAGTTTTGGGAACGCAGTCGGCAGAGAGAGCGGGAGCGGCGGGAACATGGCGTCTATGCCTCGTCCAAAGAAGAAAAGGATCGGAAGAAAGAGAGATCACGGGATCGAGACTCTGACCGCAAGAGAGACAGAGGTAACCAGCCCAGCCTAGTTCCTATAGCCCAGTAAGCATTTGAGTGGACATATCAGCTTCTTTCCTGTTGCAGGAATTTTTCTAATGCCTGATAATTAGGGAGCCCTGTTGGTGTTGATAGTGTTGGGGTTGGGAATAGCAGGCTGTTTAAGAACTGTCACTTGCAGCATAGCTGCTTTGCTTGAGTGTGTAGTTCTCGTTTAATTATGAAAATTGGTGATAAAGGCAATACCAGGCAGTGTGTATAAGAAACCAGAATTTACACTGGTGTTGCTGACAGAGAAAGGACAGTGCTGTGAAGCAAAGCTGGACATAGAATCCAACGCTGGCTTTGCTCAGTATTATTTAAATTTTATAGCTTATAGACTGGTAACCATTAACAGCTATTCATTGTAGACTTATAACTATTGTTTTTTGAATTCTTGCAGGAAAATAACTGTTACTGTGAGTTTGAAACTTTGTAGCCAGTAACTATTTTTTCCCCCTGAAAGAATGGGGATATGTGAGTTTCAGGAGCCCATGGATCGCATTAGAGCAGTGCAGGTTGCACCTGTGAGTGAGTGGGAAGGCCTGTCCTTTCTCTAGGGTGAAGATGGGTGGAAGTTAGGATGGGACACACATTTTCTAAGCTCTGCACGTGGCTCTTGACAGATGAGAGGGATAGAAGCAGACACAGCAGCAGATCTGAGCGGGATGGAGGGTCAGAGCGCAGCAGAAGAAATGAACCAGAGAGCCCGAGACACCGACCTAAAGGTAGACCGAGCCGTTGCTTGTGGTGATTTGTCAGGGGTCAGTGTATACAAGGCAGCGTCCTCAGTTGATATGCCATGGGCAGAGTCAACTGCTGGTTCCACTATGAACTTCTTGGAATACTTGGTTCTGAGTCAGGTTGGAAGGCCGTGGACCTCCCTGTTGAGACGGATATGCTCCTCTAAGTTGGTAGGCCAGTGGACTGAATGGCCAGTTTTCCAAATGGCAGGAAAGAATAGGGAGCTGGGGAACAGAAGAATTGATTAAAAATAATTATTTAGGGGTACCTGGGTGGCTCAGTCGGCTAAGCATCCAACTTTGGCTCAAGTCATGATCTCACGGTTCATGGGTTCGAGCCCCGCGTCGGACTCTGTGACGGCAGTGTGGAGCCTGCTTGAGATTCATCCTCTCTCTCTCTCTCTCTCTCTCTCTCTCTCTCTCTCACTCTCACTCTCACTCTCTCTGCTCCTCCCCCACTTGTGCACACACAACACACACTCAAAATAAATAAATAAACTTAAAAAAGTTGTTTATATTCAAGAGGAGTATGTTTGCTGAGAGAAATTGGATATTCTTCAAGATGTTGTAAACACATTAAAAAAAAAGAAAAGTGTTATAAATACGTGAAAACTGGCCTATTAAAATCCAGATACCTTAAAAATTGTCAAGATTGTGTTACAAGTAGATATCAAGTCTATCGATAGTGAAAGAAAGAGATTTGGGGAATTCACTTTTGGCTGATAGCCCTAGAGCCGTGTCCCAGTGAAGTTAGAGGTTTCTGGTGGATGTGTTCTTTGTCGCCCCAGATGCAGCTACCCCTTCAAGGTCTACCTGGGAGGAAGAGGACAGTGGCTGTGGTTCCTCAAGG